GATGCTGTTACCCATCCAGCATCCTCCCTATGGCCTACACAAGACACTTGGGGGATACAGCCATACATGCTGCACCCGGACACCACCAGGCTGTGATCCTTTGCCCCTGAAGCCAGGGCTAATAATGGGCAACCTGCCCAAGGCATCTGCAGTAATGGGATAAGCCTCTCCTGGAAGTTTCTTTGGCATGACCCGCTCTGAGGGGGTTTGGGAATCACTTGGGGAGGGGAGAGAGCCACTAGAGGACAAAATGCCAATCTCTCAATTATTGCCACCTGGACAGCCCACCCACTTGCACCTGACAATAGCAATGAAGAGCCTGGAGGGGCTAGCCCAAGGGCCTCGGAGCCTTCAGAGTTTTATCCTGGCTCCCTATTTGCCACCAGATAAAATGACAGGGACAGAATCTAGTCTTCAATGAGTACAAACCCTGGGTAAAGGAGGCCAACTAAGCAGGGTGAGACTGCCCAGGAAGCTCTGAGCCACAGGACTTAAAAAGCACCAGAAAGGACCGAACTCTTGTCAACACTGCAGTTGACCATGGCTGCTGCTGGTCCTGACCCTCAAGTCCAGCCTCCTTGTGGCCTTCAAGTCCCCTCCTCTGGTGCACCAAGACTTGCAGCTACCTGGCAGCCTGCACAAACCCCACCCCCAGCTCCCCAGACCCTATCCCTGCCCTTGGCTCTTCAGTTCCAACCCCACCCTCTGTTTTCCAGAGAAATGACACAGGCACCCTTCCTCATGACCCAGCCTCAACTCTCTGTGAGATTCACTTTGTAAACCTGAGCTCAGGGCTGGGGGTTTAACAAGAAAACAGTGGTCCCTAGGAAGGTAGGGGCAAGAAGCTCTGGACTCCTGATCAGAGGGTCTCCCTGAGATGGTCAGCTCCAGTGTCTGGGATCCAAAGCCTGGTTTTGCCCTGTACAAGGATGGGCAGATAGGAGCATCAGGAGAGTGTCAGTTTCTGGCAGGGGAATGTTCAGCATAAACAGGGACGTCACTGCCTGGGGGTGCCAAACAATTCCTGGAAGCCCTCGTGTGACTTCTGATCTTTCTCCTCAGGCATCTCCATGAGCTCTCTTTTCTACCCTCAAGCACCAACCACACCCTGGGATCTGAAATCCTCTTGCTTTATGACCCTCAGGCCTTACGGCTGGAGTGATTGAGACACACTCCTTGGGACTGCTCTAGGAGTGTCTAGCCAAGCCAGGGAGAATTCTGCCTAGGCTGAACCCTCTGCATCCTGTTCTATTTTTCTAGTTCTGCCCTGACCCCGACCCTTAAAGGACTACAACCAATGCATGCATCCGCGTGTGAGTGTGTGTGTGTGTCTGTGTCTCTGTGTGTGTGTGTGCATGCAGACCATACACAAGCAGAGACCAAGCACCAGACCTACATAAACCTAAACCAGCTATTGCAGAGTGGGGTCAGGGGGGCTTACTTATTCCCAGCAGTAGATGAAATCAGGTAGTGCCTGAAACACTTTGCAGATCTTAAAGCTGAGTAATTGTGGGCTATTATTATCAGTCATTACATCAGGGAGGCTGCCATGGCTCATGCCACTGGTGGCCTTTTCTTTCTTTCCAAAGCTGCCTCCAGAGCCCAGGCTACCTTCTCTTCCACATCCTCCACAGGAAAATCCATGATTCTTTGAGGACAGAAACAGTCCAACCTCATCTAATGAGTATGAGGGGGAAGTGAAACTGGCTGGAGCTGTCCTTCCATCACAAATGAGGCATGACTCTTAAGCAATAGACTGGGGCACCTTCTGGCTTAAACTCATTTAAAAGGAACTCCCCCAAAGTTCTTGAATTCTTTGGACAATGGCAGCAACAGTTTTGAAGCCTCAGTATTGCCATCGTTTAATCAACCCATGAACATCTATCTACATGTATTAATGGAGTGTCAGTCAATAAGCATTTGTTAAGCACCTACTATGTGCTAGGCACTGTGCCAAGCACTGTGGTTACAGAAAAAAAAAGGCAAAAGAATCTCATGGTCTAATGGAGGAGACAACATGCAGACAACTACATACACATGAGATATAGACAGGATAAATTAGAGATTATCTCAGAGGAGAGGTACAAGCATTTAGGGGGATTGGAAAAGGTCTCTTGAAGAAGAAAGAATTTTAGTGGGGACTTGAAGGAATCCAGGAAAACTGGGTGGCAGAGATGAGGAGGGAGAGAATTCCAGGCATGGGGGACAATCAGTGAAAATGGCC